AGCTGTGATCTGCCTTCTCAGACCAGGCTGATGAATGGCTTGCTGCTGCCAAAGGTATGAAGTGCCCTTCCTGCCAGCCCTGCTTCAGAGATCAGCTCCAACATTTCCTGACTGACATGAAAGCTATAATTTAGCTCGCTAACCCTGCAGGAAACAAATGGATAGTTTTCTGCTGGACTGACAAGTTTAGATAAGCTGTAAAGCCCAATTCAGTGCCAAAGCTGGGGCAAGGGAGCAGATGAGGCTGTGCTGCTGCAGATACAAGGAGAGGACGTGCAGGGCGCCCTGTTTGGGTGTCAGTCAGCTCTGATACCAGAGACCACATACTATGCAACCAAACCTGCAGATGAAGGGCTGCTTTTAAGGCTTTTAGTCATACAAATGTAGGATGTTAAAAAAATTAAAACAAGAAATATATATGAAAAGGAAGAAGCATGTCTTAGGTTTTTCAGTTGGCTCATGCTCACAATCAGGCACAGGATACAGGGTGACAAAGACCCCTAGCCAGACCCCACGTGGGTATTCCAGCAGTCCTCTGAAGTCTGCATGAGTAGGTACTGTAAAAGGCAGGTGAGTTTGTCTGATTGATGGTGCCCCTGGTTTTGAGGGATAAGGTTGTCTTTCCTCACCACAAGGGAATTCTCCTCTGGTCTCCGATTAAAGCAGACTTGCCAAGAATGATGTCCCAGAGTGGTTGTAAAACTGCTCAAGTGGACAACTGTAAATGTTGAAATGGATTTGATTTCATCAAATGCTGGGGGGGAAAAAAAAGCTAAGAAAATTGAGACATTTCTACTGAAAACTTTTAAAAACATAGGAAATAAATGGAGAGCTAATACGATCATTCAGTCCCTTCAGATTGGAAAGTAAACTGAGCATTACTGGCCAAGTGCAACTTAAGCTGTTAGCCAGATGATTGTTCTTCTGTACTCATGTTGTGTAAAGGTGTTTTCATTCCAGTGGGAGAGTGAACAGTGTTGGTGTTCCTCTGTGAAAATACAGGGTTAATCTCAAGCTGTTGTGAGAGTTCCTTATTGAAGCATTGGCAGCACATCAGTATTTGTTCTGCAGATTAAGCAAGAGTTCCCAGTTTAAAAAATGTTGAGATCATTGAAAACAGCATTATTTTGGTGCCTGTAAGTTCTTCTTAGACAAGGACTCACAAGTGCCAAACACAATACAAATGTAGCACAAGAAGACAGAACCTGATGTCAGTGTAAGCATTTATCTGCAAGACCACTGCAAAATAAAAGCTGCCATGTTTCTTTTTGAAAGAGTAGTGTTCAGGAACTCCCTGCAGGAAGACTTCTTCCACAACAGCCTGGTAGGGTGTGGCTTTGATGAGACAAATCTCTTGGTGCTGTGCGTTATCACTCCTCCTTTCCCTGGCTGTGCTATTCCAGCACTTCCCATTGCTGCGTGCAGTGCTTCTGCAGCGTGCAGTCAGAGTGAAGCAGTTCAACTCCGTAATCCAATGCATGAAGACATCCAAAAAGTTTTTTGTCTAGACCATGGAGCTCATGTAGAGTCCATGAGATAGCAGGACTAAGGCAAAGGAACAGGAACATATAGCTGGGTCAGGCAGGACTGTCTTTCATCTAGCATGAAGAAATTAATCTAGAAGATACAAAGCAAACTAAAGCAGTCTTCCAGTATTGCCACAGAAAATATCATCCCATGGCCAAACCACTTTTAGTTGGTACTTTGATACCACGATAATAATAAAAAAAAAGAGATTTCTCTGTCCTTTGACAATTAACCACTAATAATAAACAAAATGAAGCATGAAAAAGTGAACAGAATTATAAGCAGAAAACCTCACCTACTTTTTTCAGTGCTTACCAGAATACCTGGTCCAAAAATGACTTTAGCAGAGAGTATAATTACCTAGGGGGAATAAGAGCTGCCCACAGCAGTGTTTCTGGAGCTCTCAGAAAAGACTAGCCATTAGATTGGGTTGTGTGGGTGCCTCATATGAACTCTGTAACTTGGAGGTCTGTGAGGTCCTGAGTGAATGTAACAGGGTAAACAATTCATATTGTAACAAAACAATTATGACATGTAGCTGTACAATATTAGTTTAGGTTGACAACTGTTCATTATATAGGGTTTGTGAAGTATAGAGAAAAAAAATCCACTGTGTTACTCTTCTCCCTGTTTTTTAGCCTTGAGATTGTTAGGTCCTTATTGCCTCTAGTTTTGACATCCAAATTCTTCTCTTCCTTTTCCATTCTCCCTGCATTTCTTTATTTTCCCTTTGTTTTCTATTGTCTTCTTCCTCTCCGTTCTTTTTAACTTTTTAAAGAAATAACCAACAGCTGAGTGTGAGAGACTTTAAAAAATGTCAGACAGGTGAACTCTTCTCAGTCTGGATTTTCTTTCTCAGGTCTCAGCTGTTAAAAGTCTTGTGTCAGCCTGTGTTGTTGTGGTATTTCAGCAGAACCTGTTCTCTTTTTATTTCAGAAACTTCTTGCTTTGATTCCACCATGGAAGGACTTCAGTTGGCCACTAAGGATTTTAAATGTGAGGGATAACCTGGAAGAAAGAAACCACTGTAGATTTTTTTTTTCTTTGTCTGTCTTCTCTCCCACAGCCCCCCCGTATCAACCTTTCTGTCCATGTAATAATGATCAAAATTGAGATAACTTTGGGTATGGCAAAATGTCACTTTCTGAAGCCATTTGGGATTTATACTTTCTCTATACAACCTCAAGTGTGGTACAAACAGTTTGAGAGCGGAGACCAGAAGCATCTGTTGCCATGGGGTGTGGGCTTCAGGCTCTGGTATTTAATTTACTTGTGTGGGGATCCAAAATGTTGCCACACAGTGATGCTTGCCTGCAGGGAAAGGTGCCTGTTACATGTGCCTACTTCTGCCTTTCACCCTGTCAGTCATAATTACATCCTAGTCCCTTTACAACCTCAAGTGAAATAAATCTTTATCAGTCACTCCTAATCATTCATCCAGAGGTACACAACTTACCTTCTTTTCTCCTGAAATGAGGCTTTATGCTTCCCTTTATGCTTCCCTTCAGCTAGACTCATTTGGGACTACAGAAATAAGAAAATTTCACTATAGACCTGATTCAAATACACTGGAGGAAGGATGTATATGGTTTGTGTTAGACTGAGAAGATGTATAACTAGCACTGGTAACTAGTGATTTGATGTTTCTGTTAGAGGTATTAGAAATATTTACATATGTAGAGTGAGATAAATTATAATTAATTATAAAGAGCAACCTCTGTCAATTATGAGGCATGCATAAGGCTGGACATTTCTTTGTAGGGAGAAGGAGAGACATAAAAGACAACTGTCACCTCACTTAACAGTGAAAAGTGTGAGAAAAGATGAATGAGAAGAGGAGAAGCAAGGAAACTTAGGTTGTGTCTACTTATCAGAAATATTTCCCACTTCCGAGCTTGCAGATCCAGAATATTTATCCATTTGTTCATTCAACTCCTCTTCCTCACCTTTCCCTGCACCTGTTTCATTATGCACCAGTTGATGAGTCAGGACCTGACTGCACTCATGCTGAAGCTCCGCTACAGCCTAAATTGCCAACATGTCCCCACTTTCTACCTAAATACTGTATCTACATGGGAGCAGTCAACAATGTATGCATTTCTAAATTAATGTTGTACCATTGGTGAAATTTACTGGCCACACTGTCTTAATGCATTTCCCAAGTACATGTGTGTGTTTTCCTTGGCTGGGAATGTGCTGCTCTCCTACCAGCAGAACATTATACAAAATGTAATGGGGAGATGGAGGCTAATTCATGCCAGCCCTAACTGCAGCTTCAGACTTAGGTGAGGTACCAGTGGCAGCAGCAAAGTTAGTTTGATTTCAAGAAAATGTCACTCAAGGATTAATCCTGTCTTCCTGCTTCCGTTTACTGAGAGAGAAATCTGAATGCCTTTATTTTCTCTTACTGGATAATGACCTTACGGAAGGCTTAAAATAAAAACAGTTTTCAAAATCTCGCAGTATTCTAATATGCACAAATCATGTTATGCCTCCTAGGAGGTTGTTGCCAATTTGAGTTTACTTTAACCCTCCCCTCTGCAGTATCTATGAATTTCAAATTTTATGTATCTTTTTTCCTGCCACTTTTTTCCCACTTGCTTCAGCTTCAGTTAGCGTTGGTGTGCCACGTACCCAGGAGCTAAGCTTTCTCCCTGTACATGAACCCTCTCCTTAGCACTATTGGCAAACATCAGAACCTAAGGCTTCAGCCTTGAGGTTTGGTGGCAGTGTGTCCCTGTGGCATAGCTGAGGCTGGCTTCTAGCCAAGCTGGGATTGATGCTGTGTGTGATTCTAAGAGGTGGTACTACACCAACTATTTTTGGGTTTACTAGAAACTATAATTTCTTTTGCTTCTGTAGTGATCAAATTAATGCACATCAGGTTTTCTTCAGAGGAAATAAATCTTGTTAAACTTCCTTTACTTTCTCATGTGATAATGTGTTTGAAAAAAAAAATTAGGGTGGTGTACTGAGCGTGATGCACAGGGTCATCCGTGCGGTGCAGGGTGGTTGTTTAGCTACATCCCCTTGATGGTTCCCTCTCAGGCCTGCCCTGTAGTTCGCGGTACGTACAGGCAGCACATGGGATTGAACACTTTCAGCGCTGGCTTGTGTTCTCCTGCCTTTGAAAATTTGGAGATTAATCCTGATTTTAATTAATCAAAGATGGTATCTTTGGGCTAAAGTTCCGGGTCGAAAGCGGGTGCCGCAGCTGAGAGTTCGGCGGTACGAGCCGCAGATGCCCGTCCTTGCCTGTCTCTCTCTCCTTAAGGCAGCTTTCGATTTCACGGGGCACAGGCTCGGGCGCCCGGGCCATGGAGGGACGTGGGTTCCCGCCCGCCCGCGGGGGCCGTGGGACGCGGCCCCGGGGCCGGGGCGGGGGCCGGGCTGGGGAGCGGCTGCCACGGGCCCCCCATCCCAGGCCGGCCCCGGCCCCGCTCCCCGCCGGTCCCGGTCCCGGGGCCGCGGCAATGGACGAGCGGCTGCTCCGCGCCCTCGGGGGTCTCAGCCTGGGGCCCCAGAGGGGCCGCGGCGGCGGGAGGCTGGTGCTGCTGCGAGGGCTGCCGGGCGCCGGGAAGAGCACCCTGGCCAGGTAAGAGTGTCCCCCGCCCTGGCTCCGGCCGCCGCCCGGCCCCACCGCAGGGTATCGGATGCGGGTGCGGGGGCAGGAGCGGAGCGGCCGCAGGGGCCGAGCCCGGCAGTGCTTCGGGAGCCGTGTGCCCGCCCGGACCCCGCGCCGCGGCGGAGAGCGGGGCACGCTCGCTGCAGACCCCGCAGGGGCACTGGGGCTGGTTTGGGGGCTCGGGGGAAAGCGGGAGCCTTGACTGATGGCAGCCGCTCGGAAACCCTCCACATCCCGGCTCCAGGCCCGCTCCAGGCTGCGCTGCTCCTGGTATCTGTGGCTGGTCTGGGTGTCCTGCCCGTGGGACCGTGGGTGCTACTGTTCCCAGCGAGCGTACTGCAGGGAAGCTTCTAGGAAGTTGGACTGAACACTCCGACCAAGGTGGTGGTTGTTGTTTCTTTTCTAAAAAGCGTCAGATTGGTGGTGGGGCTTTTTTCTCTGGTATTTTTGTTGTTGTGGGTTTTTTTTGGTTTGGTTTGGGCGCTTTTTTTCGGTTAATCACAAACACAGTAAAGCACTCCCTCTCTCTGACTGAAAATTGACAACTCTGACTTATGTTTTTGTGATGTCCTGCACTCCTGGTCAGAGCTGTAGGGCTGTGTAAAATGGGCAGAGGAGACCAGTCCCCTCTCTGACAGCTCAAAGATTGATTAAAAATAGGTGGAAGAACCCAGTGTGGAGTACTGGGAGACAGCACTGCAGTCAGCATGACAAGAGTGTAGCTGTAATCTTGTATCACAAAATTTCACAGTCTGGTATCACACAGCTCCCAGTGCCACCCACTCTCTATCAAAAGAGGAACATTCACTGTCTTCTTACTCTGCTGGGGTGAGGAACCCATGCTGGGATCATGGGCTGCCACAGGAAGGGCTCTGCTGTGAGAGGTGGCAGCATGAAGCTAAGTGATACACTGAGTTCATCGTTTCCTCTTCTTAGTGCAGTACTTCCCTGTCACACTGGGCCTTCTGCCTCACTGCACTTTGGCAAGTGAAGTTATTTTATAAACGGCCAAATGCCCTGTTTTATTCACACCCAAAATACACGTCTTTCCCATAAGAGGCTGTGTAAGTGCAGGCCTGCTCCTTCAGAGGAGTTGGGTCTTCTCATAGCAAAGCAAGAATGTAATGGTTTGGGGCCATATTCTTAGGCAGCACAGGTAACTGACCCACTTGTATCTTTTAGGTCAAAACACAAGGTTAATTATTAATGACAGAATTACAAAATCAGGTGTAAGTATTGTTTTAATTCCCTGTGAGATGAATGTTTATCTTACTCTGTTTCCAGCCCCTGTTAATTGTATCATTGCATTTAGCTGTTCAGAAGTGCACAGATTGAAGGACAGCCGTTAGAGCAACATTTAATACCTCTCCATTAACTCTGACTAGATATGGAAGGACTGTGCCCAAAAACTTCTTTTGTTATTCCCACACTGTGTAGCTTGTGGTGTTGGCAAATGCAATGTGCCAAGCAAGGCAATGTTTGCAGAAAATGACAGCAACAAAGCTCATTGTAAGATCCTACTGGAGGAGGAAGGTGGTTGTTTACTTGCAAAAGCCCTCCAGAAACTCGTTTTATGGATTCAAATTTATTTTCTCAGATTTTACTCACAGTATCACAGCTAAATACCTGCAGGCACCAAGATCCATGTGCAGCAAGATGCATGTGCACAGGTGGTCTGCCCAAAATCAGAGCGGTCAAGGGCCTTCAGCTGTCCCATCCTTACTTCTTCTGCTGGATTGCTCTCAGTTGGTAGTGACAGGGTGAGTTTTGGTCAGGTCTGGTGTGCCATCTTGCAGCCAGCAGCTTCTATGGCTGCCATCTTTTTGCATCCAAATTCAGCTTACTTGGTGCTTCATGAACCTTAGGTGTTGGGGTTTTTGTCCCATTATTTTAGTTTTCCCATTTTGGGCGTCTTTTCAGGCTCCACGCTACTTCTGGAACGAGAGGAAGGAGGCAGGTGTGTATGGGCTGATGTGACCCGCTGGCCATCCTCCTGCTCTCAGAGCATGAGTCTTCCAGCAACGTGTGCCTGGTGCTGGGCCTCAGCTGAGTGCTGGCCTTGGGAGGGGTGTAAGCAGCACCTTTCCCAGATTTATTGCTGTTAATGATGTTCTTGGCTGTCAGTGTGTACCATTGTTTTAGCCTTTGCTCTGTTGTTTCTTCTGATGCTTTCATACACACTTCCCTTCATTCATTCATTCATTCTTCCTATCAGCCAGCATTTCAGTTACAACCTGTAGATCTTTACAGTGCTCAGAAGTCACAAACTGTGCACTGGTGATATCACAGCCCAGTCATAGCTCCAGGAGAAAGGCCCCTTTTCAGGTCATCACAAAATCTTAAGGAACAAACTCAGATCCATGACTTGTTTCCCTGACTTTTCAGTGTCACCTCGCTCAATTTGGACACAGCTTTGTAAGATTTAGGTACAGCATCTTCATTAAAATGATTTCTGAACCCCAGTTGTTCTCCCAGCTCAGAGCAGCCTGACATTGGCGTGGATCAGTTCAGGTCTGGTTTTGCATTTCCAGTAAAGACTAAAAAGGATCCATTTGCGATTATTGAAGAATGAGGAGTTGGTCTGCTCACCACCAAGTTCCAAAACTTTCCAATTGCTTCGCTGTTAAGAATATGCTTCCCTGAACCACATATTTTGGGTGACCCCAACCACCTCGTTGTAACTGTTCACCACACCAGCAGAAGCCCATAGGAGAAGGGGCAGCTGGAGTCACATCTCCAGCGGTCTCCATCAGGCAGGTGTGACACACTCCTCCTGAACACATTGTCATCGACTTCACAGTACAGGTTTTATGATCAAACTGAGGCAACTACTGAGAAAACAGTTAACTGAGGTTCAGTAGCAGGTACAGCTTCCAAAAATGTCTCCAAAAAGTAAAATGAGCTGCATACAAACTCATACCTGCTTCCCCAGCAAGCTCTTTATTGCATGGTAGGTGCACTTCCAGCTCTTCTACAATACATTGCTGTGTTGCACAGCTCAACTTACACATAAGCCTTTATCTAGCAGTTTAACTCAAGCATTAAGCTGGGCATGATCAGACATGTAACTTTTCAGCCACTGCTGTTGATTTACAGCTCAAAATGAGGTTGTTCTTGTACTCCCTTATGAACCACAAAGGGAGCAATCTTCCAGAACAGAAGGGAAAAAATGTACTGGCACTGAGGCATCACTGCTTGGCATAATCCACGTCTTGTCCAGTTCTCCCTGCTGCCGTTGCCTGGTTCATCCCAGCACCTCCAGTCCTGGCCTGACATGTAACCAGCATCCGACCCTGAGCAGCGTCTGACCCCGTTGCAGAGCTGCAGCTCTGACGGGTTCATGGACTTCAGCTCTGCAGCTCCTGCTTCCAGACAGCATTGTTATTGTAAACATTTCCCCTTGTATAAAACCACTTCAGGTGAGTCTCCTGAATGTGTTGATCAAATATAACATCATCCTGTTTCTTTACAAAATGGAGCCATGGCTTGAGCCCCTGTGGGTGAGACACAAAGGTGTGTCTGTGCTTTACATGCAGCACCTGATTGACTCCATCTGGCAAAGTCCTCTGGGCACTAGAAATTGTTCAAACATTGTAAACAGGTGATAATGCTGAGCATGTGCACCAGATCTCACAGTTCTGCTTTTCTGCTGAAACAAAAAGCTTTCAAACACCTTTTAAATGCCACAGAATGCAACATAAAGTGTTGGGAAGAGTGACCAGAGCAAGTGGTTGCATGTGGTGTCAGTATGTATATGTTCTGGTCTCCAGGTGTATGAGAATATACTGGCTCTGAGATCTGCCTGACATAGCATTCTGCTGCCTTCTGATAATGTTCCTTCCAATCTGCTTACCAGGCTCAAATCAAAAATTTATTTTCAAATTTTCTAATGAAAAAAGCATGAGAGCCTATGGAATACAGTTATGGAATTTTTTTATCTCCAATGATTATTTTTGTTTACATTATTATAAAATTGTTACAGTTAGAATATGAAATAATTGTTTGAAAGCACTGAAGATTCTCTTTAGGGAAAAAAGGGACTTCAAAAATGTTATAAGTCCTGGGAACACATCTTCAGATGAATAACACAGGAGACGCCTTTAACCCACCTGTCTCTTCAGTGGGGCAGCTGTTACAATGCTACTGTGGTCAAACAGAAACAAAGCTCTATTTTCAACAGAAAGAGTCTCCTTTTTTGATCTCAGCAGCCACGATAAATGTGGCCAGGGAGAGATAGCAGGTGAGTGTCCACCAACACCAGCCAAGGCGCTATGTTGTTTAGAAGCATTGTTGCTACCTGGGCTGCCAGAGGAGTTGGTGTGGGCAGGCAGTGAAGCTTCTGCCTCTGCAGCTTCATATTTCCAAGGTCTTTATGAGTTCCCAGGCCCTGCTGTAGATCATGAGGTTTGCCACTGTTGTGTCAGAGCTGAAGAACTGAAGCATCTGAAAGTTTTTTTTTCCTCAACTGTATCAGCCAGTCTAATGAGACACAGTACTGCTTCACTGTGCAGAAGGGGTAGAAAGGGGTTGAGGAGATTTGTTGTAAGCAGAGGAAACATCCCCCATGCTCTTCTTACTTTCTTATCCTTTGTATTTTCTGAAACAGCAAACTTTCCTTTAGCAAGATATAGAGCGTACCACATTCTGTATCCACTGCGAGATGGAGAGATTGTGCAATCACTGTGTAATTACATTTCCCAAATTAATACTGAACCTTTGACAGATGCTGCTTGTCACAACACAGTGCTTCAAGTTCAATGGTTTCTTTATAAAATGCTAATATACCTCCTATGTATCCTTTGATCTTGCAAAGAGAGCCTGGTGTGATTATGCAAACCCGTCTTCTAAACCACCTTGCAGTCCTGTGAAGATTGTACAAGGCTTATTTCTTAAGAAACACATTAAAGAGGTTTGGGCGCCTTTTGAAATTATAAGGGACAGAAGAAACAGGATGGGCAATAGGGAGGGGATTACAGAAATGGTGGTAAACTCCAGTGACTGGTTGTTTTAGAAAGCTACAAGTTAAAATCAGCAAAATAAGCAGAAGGTAAAACACCTTTTTCCCACTTAATGTTTTCTTATGTTGCTGTTAGTAGGAGCTTGTTTGGTATGAATATAGCAAATGTGAAAGTAATTTATGACTCTTAGCACATTTTGTGCCATATTTTTCCTCCTTTGGCACACAAGTTTTATTTACTTTATTATCAGTATCAGAGTAGTTAGACTGAGTTTACAGATAGTCACATACAGTTTAGATTGCTTAAGGGTTAATATCAAAACTCTCATGTGAGTGTGCATATATGTGTTGAAAATTCAGTAAAGTATGTGCTAAGAAAATTATTTTAAAATTTGCACTGTTTGAGAATATGTTTAAGAGAAATACTGAGCAAGAAAAAAATAGTCTTGAGATCTTTTATTAATGTGTACAATTTTATGTGCCTACTAGTAGCTAAAGAGATGACAGGCATTTTAGCAGGCATTTTTTTAGAGAAGAAATTGCAATGGGTAAAGCAGTGAGAAAGGTGAGGTGCTGAATCGAAGTGAGAAGAGCTGAATATATCAGTTTCTCAGCACAGGAGTAACCAGATAAGCATTAGGTGTTGCCAGGCTTTTCATGGTAAGAATTCTTTGCCTAGGACCAAAATTAAAGCAAATATAATTTGACTGTTTGCTAACAGTTTAAAGCATGACTTTTTCTTAAATCTTTTTGTCCAGAGTAATTATGCGATTAAAGCATGTCTTTGGAGCTAGAAGATAACAACATGTAGGTGCTAAATGACACTTAACAGTGGGCACAGCCCAGTCCTGGCTGTCAGCCAGCAGTGAGCCTCTATTCTCTGGGAGGGTTGTTACAACAAAATAATATCAATTAATCAGCAGATGGTAGGAGTTACAGTGGAGACTGAGCAAAGTCAGAAGCTGACCTTTTTTCAGCTAAATGCAACCCGCGATCCTAGTGAAGAATTGCTGCTTGCAGGCAGATTAGGGTAAAACTGGTAAGTAAATGGTTAGGACAGAGCTAGATGACAGAATTAGGCTTTTTCTGTCTGTGTGTCTGTTTTTTTTCTGATAACCTAAAGGCACCTTTTCCCTTGCTGTTGCTCATGTAGATATGACATTGAGAAATAGTTGGTTTACAGCTTGTGGGTATGGAAGAAAAGCATTTTATTAGGGAAGCTGAAATGAATCACAGGGACTGGAGACCATGTGAGATGTGAGATAGGAGGGCAGCAGCATTCAAGTCTGAGAGCCACAAGGTTTCTTGGTTGACCTTTCTTTTCCTGAGACAGTTTGGGCCTTAGGGAGACATAGATTAGAGAGATGATGCCATGGGCTCTCCCTGACTTCTTGCAGAGATTCCCTCCTCCCCCAGCACCTCTGTGACTGAAAAAAAATAGACAGTTCTGTCTATGGACACAAACAAATCTGGATTATAGAAAAATAGGAATACAATTTCATATTAAGATTTTTTATGCTCTCTAAGGACTGGCAGAGGAATGCTTCATATTTAAACCACCTCACAAGCCAGCACTTCCACCTCCTAGAGCCAGTCACAACCTTTGAGGCAGATGGTCAGTTTACAGCATCCCAGGTCTGCAGGAGCATCACTATGGGATGCACATTGGTGCAAAGGGAAGGGGGTTTGCCCTGTGCCACTGACCACAGCGGTCTGTTTTATGGATCTATAGCCAATCTGGCAATTCAGATTTGTTTTTATAAACACATTTAAAAGCTGAAAAGATATAAAAATGACTCAATTCTACAAGAGGAAGATTAAGTGAAACAGGGATAAGTACAAGAACTATAAAACTGCAACAAATAACACAAAATATTGACTTATCATTCAGATACTTGTTTGCAAATAATAAATAAATAAAGTAAAAAGTGCTATCTGCTTTCTAGCCAAAAACCCCCCAAACTGATGGTACTCTTGGCCATCTTACTAAATGACAAATCCTTCCTCCTTATCTTCTGAAATCTTAGTAGAAAAATTCCCATGGTCAAATTGTCTTTTGACACCAACTTCCATGGGATAAGCAGGTTTGGGTTGTTGGTTTTTTTTTTTTTATCTTTACAATGCCGCGTTCTCAGACAACTCAGAAAATTCTCAGATAACTCAGAAGGAAGACTGAATATATTAATATCATTAAAGACTTGGATGTTGGTAGTCCAGTGTAGATTTCTTCGCTGAATTAAAGAAATCAAGGCCATGCCTTCAAGCTCCATTTATTTCCTCCTATGTGTCCATCTACTGATTGCAGTATTTTCAGATCCTTTCAAGCTGGGATTTTTCAAATGAAGCACTGTGCATATTTGCAGAGCATTCAAATGGCTCTTGATTTAATGGTCCCTGTTAAAGGCATGTGTTACCATATACTAATCCTTCTTTCATCTTTTTTTTTCTGCAGACAACTGAAACGTGACTATCCCAGTGCTGTAGTTCTTAGTACTGATGACTTCTTCATTGAAAATGGTGTATACATGTTTGAGCCTGACTTCCTAGAGGATGCACACAAATGGAATCAAAAAAGAGGTGCCTGAACTTCATCCAGGGGTTGTGCAGTCTGTCTTTAAACTTAGCCCCCAAAATAAAATATCTCAAAGTGATGTCATACACTGCAGTTCATGGGGTATTGGTTGAAAAAATACATTTACCACTTCTGATTTTATTTCTTCTGATTTACTAGAGAGAAATTTGTAAATGAAAAAATGCTGAGGTTGATAGATGTTATTTTGGAAAGTAAAGCAGTGACCATTTGGAAGCACTGCTGAAACTTGGTAAGAACAGGTGCCATACAGATACCAGCTCAGCAGCTGCTCTCTGCAGCTGTAGGCACCTCAGCCTTATGACTTTAACTTCTTAGATGTCTGTCCTGACCTGGAAGGGGGTGTTACGGGGTGGGGAGGTAGTGATAGGAGGAAAACTCAGAAACTGAGTTATGAGTTTGAGAATTAAACAACCCAGGTCTCTACTTCAGAGACAACAACGTAACATGCTTTTGTGGCTGCGTTGTGAAGGAAATTTTGGCAATGACAAACATACTTTGAGATGATATAACAGGCATCTTCTACAAACAACAGTAATTTTTAGCTGTTCCAAATATGTTCTATGAGAGCTTCAGATGGTGGTACACAACACAGCCAGCAGCTGCACCACCTCCTCTGGGAGAACTCCAGCTGGGCACTGGCCTCGGCTCCCGTTTGGATGGTGGCTGCAAACCCAAATCTAGTGGGAAACAAGTATGTGAGCAGTGGGCAAGAAAGGACACTTTGGGGCTAGTAAGGCCTGGATCAGTCTGTTATTTGATACACTTTACTTAATGTGTTACATTGCAGCACGCAAAGCAATGAAGAATGGGAAAAGCCCGGTTATTATTGACAATACCAACATCCATGCTTGGGAAATGAAGCCGTATGTGATAATGGTAGGGAAACCTCTGATTTATTGCTTTTATATGCTCAGCTATGACATTTACAAGGTGATCTGACTGAAACAGTTCTTAACATGGCTAAAAATAATTACTTCACTTTCCCCATTGTTCTCTAGTTGTAGTGGATATGGTGGATATTGTGACAAAGTAGGGGCAGAGGTGCCAGTGTAGTTGTTTTAGCCACTCAGCTCTAGAATTCAGTGAAGGCAAAATGGTTTGAAAAGATTAACAGCCTTTGAATCTCCCTTGTTACTTCTTGGTCATCAGGATGTCATCCCCTTCCCCGGTAGTGACATGAATTGAACAGTTCTGTCAATTGTTTGTTGACAAATATACCAAGATATGACTTACAATTTTAGTTCATAAGTTGTGAAAAATACACCATACAGAGTCTTTGAAGATGCATTGATATATCATGTCAGTAGTTCTGGCAGAGATGGCAATATTTTTAGTACAGTTGCATTGTGTGGCCTGTCTGCTAACATTAAACTCATGCTTCTCTTCGTGGGTTATGGTCTTGTCAGTTAAGAATTTTGGGTCTAAGTATTGCTTAGCATAGAAGAGGCAGGAATTAATAGTGGGTGCTGGAAAGCCTCACAACTCTAGCAGGAGTTGCGAATGCTTGTGGGTGAATAAGAAGCAAGTAGAGGGCACAGACAGAGGTGGGCAAGATGTAAAAAGGTCAATAGATTTCCCTGCCTCCTTCCCCAACTCAAAAGTAATCAATAACTGTATTTAATACATATATATGTACATGTATGGGGGTTTTTTTATGTGTGTATGTACATATATATACACACACACAAATATGTTCCTTTACCTTGAAAAAAATGGAGTACTGTAGACTCAATGGCTGGGAATAACATGACTGATAGATGTTGACCTCACACTTCCAGAAACTCCAGACTGGGATGGTCAACCTGTAGCTCTTGAACCATCAGTGACTTCAGAGAGATAAAGTGCCAAGATCCTGTTGCCATGGGGGATGGGGACTGGGGGCAAGGCTGAGGCAAGTTTTGCTGGGAAACCCAAATCCCTTCATATAGAAGGAAATAAACTCAGACCGGCACTGTGATGGCAGTCACGGTTATCGTCCTCTTTCTGGCTCCTGGTACATATGACAGATAACATCTCTTAGCCTGGTAAAATCTCAGGGGGTCTAGAAGATTGGCAATTCCTGAGCTCGGCAGCCACACATCTAAAACTTCTGTGTCCTTCAGGCACGTGAAAATAGATATGAAGTTACGTTCCAAGAACCAGATACACCCTGGAAGTTCAATGTTCGAGAACTGACAAGGTACGTATTTTTCTCTTTGATATTGCAGACAGCTTCTCATTTTGTAGATGTGTCCTGATAAAGGACAGTCTTCCTCCTCTTCACATACCCTGAAATGTAGCCTAGTAAATGACAACAGAAGGATTGTTGTGGAAACTTTCTGGTACCGAGTACCTGGTCTGTCGTGAATTCAGCCCTGAAAAGGCCTGACTGTGCTGAAGTGAGACAGGCAGTAGTAAAAGCAACAAGGCCTTTTTATGCTGCAGGCTTTTTGGGTCAGAAACCCTAATTTTCATTCTGTATTTTGAGCAGCAGTCTTTATGTTTGAGCACAAAACCATATCTAAGCACTACAGACAATTTTCAGGCTTCTATTCTTAAAATTTAACCATAACAAATATTGGCTTGCTATAGCGTGCAGGGATGATACATTGAGTGTGGCTAAGAAACCGGGTTCTAGAGGATCTTTGTAAAGATCTCACACACACACGGGATACAGTGAATGTATCAACTCTGTGTGGTAGGATTTAGAGGCAGCCAAATGTGTCTCTAGGTATGTTCGTTTGATTAGTGACTGCAGCGTTATTGGTTATATCAATGAAAAAAATTCATGTAGGCTAGTTTCTTAGCCTTTATCCAATCTGATGTAAAGTATACCTCAGTGAACTGTCTGTCAAACCCAGAAGCTAAACACATGCTAACTTACTTGTTATTGCAAGAAAACAGGGCATGGGTACTTCATTCCAATGGATGTATTTGTTTTGTACCAGCTAGGAACTCTAGTCAAAAGTTAGCACTGCTCCTTTCTGTGTCTGATGGAGACAAATGGCAGAGGGCCATGGCCCAGAGCACTCGTGGCTCTGGGGTGAGGCAGGACATGGCAGATGATGGCTCAGGGCTGAGGACAGCAACAGTCTTAACTGTCAACTGTGTCAGCTCTTGCTTTACCAGCACCAGCCACTTGTAGGGCATCACTGCAGAGGCAGAATTTAATCATTCATTGTAGGCTGAGTAACTCAGTAACTTGCATTTTGTGTTATTAAATATTTGAAACAAGTCGGCTTTTTACAGCAGCACTGTAAAACTAATTCAAATACACCCAGTTTTGCAGAAGGTCTGTGGTAAATGGTTCAGGGACAGCTGCAGGTTGCTTCCACATGGTGTCTTCACCAGCAATAGGGTTTGTGCTGGTTGCTGGCCCAGGAATGGGCTGCATGTGTGCAGGACTCTGGCTGCTGCAGGACCTCGTACCCACTTCACAAGTGGGATGTGCAGCTGGCAGCCTGCTGTGTTACTGTCACCCTGATTCCACTACAGAAAAACACATGTTGAGCAGTGCAGCATTTGCACAACACAAGGTTTTGAAAATATGGATGCAGGATAAACGTACATTCGAGATCACAAACTGTGCCTTATAGAGCTAAATGGCAAGCCCAAAGATAGTCAGGGTTTGCAAACTCACAGACAAACAGAAATTCCTGGTGGTCTTTGCAAAAATAATTCCCACTAAGTTGTGGAGAGACCGTGACTGTTTCTACTCTATCCAGAAAGCCCTGCATGTTTGAGCATTGTGTTCCCCTCCCTCTCAAACCTGTCATTTACAAGTCTGCCCTGGAGCCTGAGCCACATCATGTATGATTTTTTTACTACTTGTGCTCAAAGCAACAACATTTTTTGACCTCTGTATTTGCTGATAAATCAGCGTCTATGTTGGCTACAGCGCTTGTCTGCATTTCTCCAGATGTACCAAAGCTCACCTTGAGGCTAACAAGCTGTTAGTGCTAAACCCCAGCAATTCTCTATAAAATACTACACAGGTCTTCTACATAACTCTTTCATTTCAAAATATTTGTCAACTTCTTATGTCCTGGCTGCCCCCAAAAATACTGGTGTGACATTTTTCAGCAGTCACAATATTCTTAAGACGTTGGTAAAAGTAAACAACAATTTGTCAAAAACAGGCTAGAAATATATCAGTGGAGACATGAACCATTGTCCTATTTAGGACAACCTATCAGACACCTTAGCAAGCTGAAGATAACTTCTAATACATGGGCAGCTAAATACTTGTATTTTCTGTTAATTTTGACTCTGCAGAAGAAATATTCATCATGTCCCTCGGGAAAAGATACAACGGATGAAAGAACAATACGAGCACAATGTTACCTTCCACAGTGTTCTTCACTCTGAAAAACCAAGCAGAGATGAGGGAAGCTACAGTGGACCAAATGCATCTTATGGCATGGGTACCCATTCCAATCCTCTTTCAGACTTCTCAAGGAGAAGACCTCACATGACACGTCCAAACAACATGACATTTAACTGAAGAGGTGATTCCTTGGTGTGTTTTAATTATCAGGGTATAAAAGACTCTAGTTTTAAATTTTTTCTAAACTGTTTGTGTTTTTCTACTACATTTCTAAATTACTTTTATTTCTTACAAATCTTTAAATGGCATTGGTCTGTGATCTCACAGCTCTACATGACCAATCTAAGAACACTGTCCCCAGTACAAACTGTACTCCCTCTCATCCCTCTTCCACCAGGAAAATCCATCCAAGCATATTGTGAAATTTACTGGCTCTGCCACATCCATTTTGGATTATTTTTTTCTGCATCACACTCTGTCACTAACATTCCTAAATTATTTCTTTCTTAAAGGCCACGTGGCCAATTCCTTTATTCCTTCTCCATGCAATTGGCATTTCTTGCCATTTTAATACTTTATATCTGGCTGTATAAACATTTTGTATTTACTACTATCTTGCCTAGAGCATTTTTGTAACTTTTAGAGAGGCAAGGTGACTGGTGACAAAGGTAGCTCTAATATTTCATGCTGTTCCCTATCTCCACTGACTGGATTCATGCTGGTCTTACCTCACAGCCAAGGAGCTTCTCCAGCCTGGAAGCAAAACACTAACACACCAACCTGAGCCCTGCATCTTGCCAAGCCGTAGAAGTTCAATTGATCCTGAGATGGAGAGGCTCCTAAAATGAAACATTAGTGTTAGGCTTGTGCTTGTTAACTCCTAAGTAGGAACTGGGCTACAGGAGTAGGTCTGTACAGCTGAAGCACAAGGCTATCAAATACACTAACTCATAATGACTTAAGAAAGGAGGAAAAACCTGTTTTTGCTAAGGGGAAAAATCAACCTCTTCAGCCACTGAATGGTGAGAAGCCACTGACTGATTGATGAGTGGGAAAAGAAACTATCCTGCTGTGGTTTTATCCATACTGTTATATTCTGATGATTATGTCCTCGTCAAGAAGCCTTGTGAAACATTTTTAAAACTCCATTTGTCAATTTTTTTATGTAGGTGCGGATTATTAGGCAGTTCCTATAGAACAGACAGTGGTGAGGTATTTTGCAGGAGGAAATTAAGACAGCTCCCACTGGACATTAGGAAATATGGGTATAACTGTGATTCATCTAGCAGTTTAGCAGAGAAATCTGAGAGGTATAATGTTGTCTCTATGCAAAAGTCAAGCTGTCTTCAGGACACAACAGATGTACAAGATAAATGGCATTTTCTACTCAAAATGCATTAAAGCTTTAAGCATCATCATTATGAACAATTCTGAACTGGGGGCCCAGGGAATCTAGCTCTGCAGTATTCCATGGAAGTTTACAGAACTACCAGCGAGCTTGTGTCAGCCCATTATAGTTCTCCAGTGCTGCAGTTGAGCCAAGTGAACAGCACAGGACCCCTGAAGGGTTGCTGAGTGGGAGCTGGTGGTCTCAGTTCTGAAACATCCTCCCTCCTTTGAACCATGCCTGGTGGGAAGCAGCAGGGCAAAGGGCAACCTGACAAGCAGCTATTTGAAATGTGGAGGTGGCAGCTGGTCCAGCAGGACTATTTCCCTCTCCAATGGAGAACTCCAGTTCTGAGCTTAACCTGTTGAAATTAATGAGAACAAAATAATGAATTCAAGCACTATCTCATCCCCAGCAGAAAGATCTTGTGATAAAATCAAAGAAAGATCTGATTATCTTTCATGCTGTTGTGGCCTCAAGTGCTTCTTTAAGGAGTAGCTCAGAAACACTAACCAAAGATTTATCACTAATACCTTTGTGTGGCATTTTGCTGTATATCAAATAATCATAGCTGTTTTTCTAAACCTTTTTTAGTGCTATATGGAAAGTGAGAAGAAAAGTACAAGAACAGACCCTTAATACACAGAGCAACATTTCAGAATTAAAATGTTTTGTACAGTAAAAATAAGAGAACTATTTTGCCCTGTTCTTCTGATAGCCAAACAACTACTCTAATGCTGCAGAGGGTAACAAAACTTTAGACTGAAACAAAGATCCTGCTGTAATTTAAGAATACATCAGAATCCAAACAATGGCTTATAAAATGTCATAAAACCCTCAGCCATACTGATGTTATTGTACAATACATATTTGTGAGAAGTGTATAATTGCTTCAGACTATTTTGCAGATGAAATGTTATTTCATGAGTCTGTTTTTGAGATACAGCTTTATTAAACAGAATCCAGATTTAATGTACAAAGTGTAAAAATAATTTGAATTTGAAATATATACAAAACTGTACATGGGTGTTTAGTAGCATTTTTGGGATTTTTGTCTTTGTAGCACTCTGCGGGCTGGTAACGAGTCCACAGGTTCCTTTGGGTCCTTCTGAAGAGTCTCAGCAACTTCAGAACTGCTTTTTGATGAGTTATTTGCTTTCTCAGTAGACCTGGAACTACTTCTGGATGAAAGATCATCAGATAAATTAGTAGCTATTGTATTGCTGTGTTCATTTACATAATTCATCTTCCTTTCTTCTGGTAAATTATTCATGAGTGCTTGTGTATTAATCATTGCCAGTTCTTCATCAGCAACCAGGTCATTCTCAGGAAGATGGACACTTTCTCTCAATTTTCTACAGGGCATGACACGACCAATATTCTGATCTGTCTCTTTTGATGACTTGCTACGCTGTAAACCCAAACTTCGTGGGGGCTGGAATGCTTTTTTAACAGATGGAGAAATTACTGAACATATTGGTGTCAGTGGTGGAGGAGCAGGTATGCAACTGAGAAAGTCCATAGCTTTTCTCTTTCTGGTGTTTTTGAGATGGTCTTCACTAACTGTAGCAGGTGAAGGTGTTTTTGCTGACCCTGGTGTGACAAGTTTCATATATGGTGTGATAGTTGACAAAGGGCTTGGATGCTTAATTTTGATTCTAGTAGAGACCTAGTTAAAAAGAGAGAAGTTTGATGTTGAATAGAATGTTCCATTTCATTAGCTTCCTCAATTACTTCCACAAAATGGGAAAAAAAATCCTGATATAAAAAAACTTGAAGATAACAATACACACAAGACAGATGCTGCACAGCAAATCATTCAAACACACACTTAACTTGAAAATACTTTTCATGTCTCATTTGTTTGAAATTGGTGAATATATTTGATAAACAAATAGAAACTAAACCTTCAGAATTAAGTATTAGCACTCCCTCTGAAATGGAAAAGAGTTAGGTTTATAAGCATAAATTTAGTCCCCAGGAACTGAAATCACATCAGGTGTTTCCCCTTGCATCGCAACTAGTGGCAGGGAAAGTTTTTGTTCTGATTGCTCAGTACTCCACATCAGAAACAACTTGCCTCCAGCAGCTTTAATGGGAAACTTGAGTACTATTTAAAACAATTGTTGTCAAGACTGCTATAAAATGTAAACATTTACTAGGTGATACCTCTTCCCTTTTAAATCCTGGAAATAGATAACAATATCTAATTAAAAGACCAGGAGGTAAATTCTCTCAACAAAAATAGGAACTGCAGAATGCCATAAAAGAAGAATTTACAGATCAAGATTTTTCCTTCCAGTGACATTCACATCAGGTAATCTTCACAGTGTGACCAAGGAAGTGATAAATTATCTATAAAGAAATGATGATTCATTTACTCACATAAAATTTAGAGTATTTAAGTATGCTGTGGAAACAGGCCATAAGGGGAAGTTTTCAAGTACTGCTGGGAGGAAGAACGGTCTTTCAGTTCCTCCTGGGGAATAATAGTAAACCCACACAGAGAAAGTGTCTAATCAGTTTGCATTGCCCTGAAGAGAATGGATGGAGTGGACTGAGAAGTGGGACCATTGACCACAATCATCAGTACAGAACTTACTTCTATCCTCACTGCATGCACTGCCAGTACAAACATAGTATTAATTAACAGAAGCTTACCAAACTTTTATCCTCTGCAAAGTTATAGGAAGGAGAGGGGCTTTCCAAGCTGGATCTTTTAGTTAAACTGGGTGTACGCAAGAGATTTCTTTGTAGCAAATTCATCAATTTACTTTCTGCATCAGAGCAAAAGGAGGCCACATTCTGCAAAGGAGAACAGTTTGCAATGCAGAACAGTTGTTTTTCAAATTGTTTAAGTACTATATGCTCATAAAGTATTTAGGACTTTCCTTTCTCACCATAATCCCACTAGAATTTTATTTTATATCAGACCAACAACTTAGAAGACTGCTGCACTTTCCGTGGAGGGAAATAAAACTACCTTTTATTGTGAGCAAGAAGAAAAAAATTCTTTTGTATTTAAACTTATTTTTCTGTAAGAAATGGGAATGCATGACCAGGACATGGTATTTAGCACGCTAGAAAATTGAAATAAAAAATAAATAAATGAAATCAACAATCCAATACTGAATAAACTCCACTGAGCAAGAGAGTAAATTTCAGCTTTTAAAAGGCTAGAGGCCAAACTGTGCATGACAGATTCACTATTGACAGATACAAGATGCTTTGCCAGCCAGAGCAGATTCTGTGGCACATCCTAAAGACGGTGTTGGTTGAACTGAATTAAAAAAAAAAAAAAAAGACATTCAATAGGTCATATGTAGAGTCCTCCAGGAAAACTGCATTAACACCTTACTCCATCTCCCAGAAAATCCCCTCAAATTCAGCCCTATGTGTATTACTTCTTTTAAAGATTTATTAGTACTAACAGACTTTCTGGTGAAGAATGTAACACAGCAGTAACTAAAACTAATCATCAAACTAAACATCTACATATTTACCCCTATCATACTTCTCAGTTCATTAAGCTTCTCTTGAAGATAGTTTTCCTTTGGACTGGCTGAGAACACAGAAAGATCTCCAGCCAACAGCACAGGAATTTCTGATCTGAATTCAGATTGCCACTGAAGGTTGCTTGCAGAAACGAGTGAGCAGCGGACAACTATATCTTCAATAGCAAAGTGTCTGAGATCTGTCCAGATCTTTACTGCCACAAAATTACAGCTTTCATCAGATAAGTACACCATAGTAGCGAAACCTAAAAGCAAGAAAAAAGTTTGAATTAAACCTCTGCATCCTTAAGTAAAGGTTGATTACCACAATTTGTAGCTATAAAAAAAGGTCCCACACATCTTGAAAGAGAAATCATAAATGTTACATGGCAGCTTGTCTGCACGCTTCACCCATACTCTACACCAGCTCCCTACTGATTACAGAAAACAACTCAAAGTCTCTGTTGCAGTGGCTAAAAACAATACTCCTATGGTGCTTTTCCTTTTTATTCAGAAGATTATCCA